AGAGAGAGAGCTCTCTCTCTCTCTCTCTCTCTCTCTCTCTCTCTCTCTCTCTCTCTCCCCCGTGCGTCCTTTTGTTTTTGCCCGTTCCTTTTCTGTGTTTTCTTTGTTTTCGTATTTCTTTTTTTTTTCTTTCAGTTTTTGTTCTAAATACTATTTGTGTCATGCCGACAGTACCGGGGCCCGGCCTTCAAGCAGGGACCGGGCCTTCCCTTGACTGACTCCCGAAGGTGTCGGCACGTTAACGGGAAAGGCCCACGACCGATAGCTGGGCCAAGTACTGGTGGTTTAAAACTGAGATGGTGAATGCGCCCTAGTTACCCCTTTTTCTTTTTTTTTCAATCCCCCTTGCCTTGTCTGAACAGATTGTTTTCTTCTGCAGGAGCATGGATCAGCCTGAAGAGGAAGGTCTGAGACCTCTATGCTGCTGATTTCTTGGTGCCATGCACAGATTGTTTTTTTTTTTTTTTTTTCCCCTCCTTTCCTTCTGTCTTTCTTGGGGTAACTTCAGTAGAGTCACAAAAACGAGTAAAAATTGCAGCATCCGGCAAGATACAGTTTGCAATTGCACTTGGGGCACCCTACCTGGCCAGAAAGCTGGGTTGTATACTTTGCCTGAACTGCAATTGCAAACTGTATCTTGGCCCATGCTGCAATTATAACCTGGGTTAGCACTAGAAGCAGTAAAAGTTAAAGTCCTGTGTCGGTACTTGTGCACGCTAAACAAAGCTCAATGCAAGACACACAGCACGAGACTCGTCGAGAAGCTTAAAGGACCAAGTTTGTACGAGGCAGCTGAGGGAATAGGCACATCTACTCCCCTACTGGTGAGGTCACAGGTCGGTGCCACCCATCCATGGGCATGACATCCTACACTAAACAAGCATGGATTTAAACCGGAGACCTCAAGCTCAAGAGTCAGGTATCTTAACCACTACAGCCAGGACACAGTCTCTAAAAGTACAAGCATATGGTGTTAAACCACCGTACTTGGCCCAGCTATCGGCCGCGGCGCTTTCCCGTTAACGCGCCGCGCCTTTACAGCTTCGGGGTACCGGACCTCAATGGCTGGAAGCGCCAGCCAAAACAATTTTGAAACGGTACCCCAGCACTTCGGCGAAAATCGGCGCACAGGGGCATTCCAGGCTCGGCATCGATAGCTGGGCCAAGTACTGGTGGTTTAATATGTACACCACCCCTGCAAGGCTGAAGTGTCCAACTCAACACACACCGGACACAACGCCACACGGACTAGGCAACTCTCGAACACCTCGCTCTCGCCAATCAACACAAATTCTTAGTACCACTGGTACTCCCTCCAGTCCACCTATAGGGGTACTCTGTCCCGTCCACCTACATGGGTTCACCCGGCCGTTAACGGGTGCTTCCACAGCAGCTAAGTGAATCTGCACATCTAGCTCCCCCACAGCTGAGCTTACAGGATGGCGCTACACATCCCAGCATGAGCCCAACGTCCTCAACTGTGCAAGCACGGATTCGAACCTCGGCCTCAAGAGCCAGGTATCTTAACCAGGTATCTTAACCAGGTATCTTAACCAGGTATCTTAACCACTAGAGCCAGGACGGGACTTTTTTTTTTTTTTTTTTAATGGGAACAAGGCTCCAATCTATTCGTGGGGAGCAGCACGTGCTGGGAACCGGGCCCAGCGTCCCATAAAAGAATTTACAGGGAATTTTGAAAATTTGAGATACCGGGGCCATTACCCGGCTTAGAAAATTTCTACAACAAGCTTCAGAAATAGGCGAAAGTCAGCCAGGACGGGACTCTGAGGAAGAAAGTCGAAAAAATCAAATCGGGCTGTGGTCCTGTCCCTGGCCGGACTGGGAGTAAATCAGCGAATCTGTCGGAATGCCCCCAGACTGTCTTCAACCCTTTTGAAGTACAACCCTTGTTCAGCACCTTGAGCGACCACTTTGTCGATATGTATACATCGTCTGGTTGATTATGAACTTAGTTTCCGCTCTAACCATCGGCGGTGTCAGCTTTACCCCACATCTGACGGACGAATTCCGAAGTGATTACAGCGACCAGAGAACAGCGGCTCGAAGACTCTCCTCTGCATACATCAGTTCCGAGCGGCCCTGTTGTCTATGCGCCGGTGCTGCCAAGAGGATGAAGTCATCAGTCCAACGACAGGCCGCTTCAGGCTGAGGGATCGCAACGGACCCAGACCGCCACCAAGCCCAAAACGGCCTGTTTTGGAGGGGGGGGGCAACGGCTCCTGGGTCACACCTAGCGTTTGGAATATTTGGCAACTTAAGCAGTTCTCGAAACGTTTTTTTTCTGTTGTGGCTCAGTGGTTAGAGCACCGGTTGGAAATGCGCATTGTGGTATGAGGTTGAGGGTTCAAATCCGCAGCCTTGTGCATGGACACCGGCAGGGCGTTAGATTGACGCACGGCTGGACACACAGACCCTTCGGATGACGCAGGTTAGCTATTACAGACACTGCTTGCGCACCACCCAAGGGGTAGCTCACGGTTGTATGTTGGGACTGGGCGATGGTAGGGTATCCTGATGTTCTTGGTCTATGGGTGGTCACGCGACTGTTGGGTGGTTTGTACGGTCTGGTTTACTCGAGCCCGGACACCCGGCCATTGTCGTAGCATCTGTTTTTGCCACGAGTCCAGTGGTCGGCATCGAGGTAGGTGGTATTTGGGTCCTCGAGCGGCCGGCAGGGAGAGAAGAAGAGGCAGGGCGGGCGCAGTAGGAGAGAGAGACAGAGAGAGAGAGAGAGAGAGAGAGAGAGAGAGAGAGAGAGAGAGAAGGGAGTGAGGGAGGCATTTCGTCTGGAGCTTNGAGAGAGAGAGAGAGAGAGAGAGAGAGAGAGAGAGAGAGAGAGAGAGAGAGAGAGAGAGAGAGAGAGAGAGAGAGAGAGAGAGAGGAAGAAGGGAGTGAGGGAGGCATTTCGTCTGGAGCTTCTGTTGTGGCGCAGCTATGGGGAAGGAGGCATTGACCGAGGCTCAGGTCACTGAGCTCAAGGGAGCTTTCGAGCTATTCGAGAAGGATAAGGATGGGACTATTTCGACGGAGGAGCTAGGTGAGGTGATGAAGAAGCTGGGAACCACTGTGTCCGAAGAGGAGGTCAAGATGCTGATTGCTGATGTGGATGCGGGCCACAGCGGGAAGATCGAGTTCGACGAGTTCCTGGAAGTTATGGCTGGAAAGTTGAGTCAGGCAGCGGTCCTCGAGCAGGAGGAGTTGATGCAAGCCTTCAAGTTGTTCGATGAGAATGGCGATGGCAAAATCTCGTTGACGGAGCTCAGAAAGGTCATGGAGAATCTCGGAGAGAAAGTGAAGACGGAAGACCTCGAAGAGATGATTCAACAGGCCGATGTAGATGGCGATGGCCAAGTCAATTACACTGAGTTTGCCAAGATTATGGCTTCTCACTAAAAGTACCGCCTCTCGTTCTCTCCCTATTTCCCTCTCTCTCTCTCCCCCTCTCCCTCTCCCTCTCCTTCTCCCTCTCCCTCTCCCTCCCTCTCTACCCACCTTCCTCCGGATACTCCTTTTGGAAAAAAAATGCATGGTTTGGTTGCTAGCTTTACGCTGATTACAAACTAGCTACCGTAGTGAGCCTGAGTTAAAAGACTCAGTTTGTTAATATAATATAGACTGGCAATTACAGTGAGTTGGCCAAGGCCAGAATTAGTATGAGTGCTCACTAAAACTGCTACCTCTCCCTCTCCCTCACCCTCGATCTTCCTCTGCTACTCCTTCTGGCAAATTTCCAGTGGTTTGATTGCTAGCTTAGCGCTTATTAGTTGTTAACTATAGTAGGTCCAACCTGAGTTAGCCCTACCTTCCTCCCTTTCCCTCCCTTTCCCTCTCCCTCTCCCTCTCCCTCTCCCTCTCCCTGTCCCTCTCCCTCGATCTTCCTCCGCTACTCCTTTTGGCAAATTCCCGTGGTTTGGTAGCTCGCTTAACGTTTACTAGTACCTAACTGTAGTAGTCTAACTGAGTTCAAACTCGGTTTGGAATATATGTACACTCTATGGCGCGGCCCATTTAGCGGTCCGTTGCTGCCGGTGGTTCTTCAGCGACACCACACTCAACAGGAGTCCACAACTTTCGATCAAAGGGGCAAAATTTGTGAAGAAACTCGTCAAGGCAAGCTGTCACAAGATATCCTCTGCGTCTTTTTTTTTCCGAGGATAAGCTTCGAAGTGCTTGGACTGGAATGCAGAGGCAGGCCGGCCGGCCGCTGTGATCGCTGGGGTGTCGTTCTTTTGTCATTGCCTGAAAGCCTTGTCCTTTAATTTCTACTTTCTCTTTCTCTACCCGCCTAGAGATATCCTCTCTATGTTGATGCCCACCTCCACACCCCCGACATGTCCCGAAAATTTTCGACCTCTGTGGTTTCCGTACAGATACGATGAATAGAATGCTAGGTCTGCCTTCGTGTCCAAAGTCATGTATAAGCAGTATGGACGAGGGATTGGGGGTTGGCAAGACAAGAGGGTTTTTTTCTGGGGGGAGGGGCGGAATGGTTTACTCGAGCCCAGCAGAGCACAGCTTCAGATTACGTCACAGTATATGTCAACAGGTTAGGTCATTTGCACGATTCACATGAGGTCCTGTGTTCGATACCAGATCATGACTTAGGGCTGGTCATCCTCCTAGTACGTAGTCAAGGATTGAGGCTGGCATATCAGTTCCTTAGTACGGGATGTTGGGGGTGTATACTGCACTTTACCACGGGGCCAGAACGGGCTCCAGGGACATACGAGGGAACGGAGGATTGTCTAGCTCTCACAGTTTATCATACAACACAGGGTTCCCCACAGTCAATAGATACAGTCTTGCAAGATTGGGCCTGCTACCGGTACCTGTTAGCACAGGCCACCTCCCGGTTTTGCCCATTATTCACTGTTTTTTTTGCTGTTTCGAGCTGCTCACGGCCCAATCTTGCAGTGGACTGTTATTTCTGCGAATTCTGAACTGTGCAGCGGTCACAGGTGCAGGTTTTTCTTTTTTTAAACATCCCAGGGCCGGGCCAGGCTAGTCTTCTCTGTATCATTCCAATTTTAACGGATGTCCGGAAGGACCACAGCTTGTTTTTGGCCTTGGGCTCTGGGGCCCTTTTTTTAGTAAAAGAAAGTCTGTAAGAGAGAGAGAGAGAGAGAGAGAGAGAGAGAGAGAGAGAGAGAGAGAGAG